CTCTGCCCGCGCCGCCGGGCTGGAGCTGGGGCTCGGGTCCCCCCGGGCCTGGACTGCGGCGCTGAACCGGCGGCGCGCCCCGCGGGTGACACCGTGCCGGCGCCTGCCCCGTGGGAGGGTGACGAGGCGGCGCGGTCAGGTGGGATCCGGGGAGCCAGGGGCCGTGGGAGCCCTCGGGGGCCGGTACGCGCGAGAGGCGGGTCGGGGAAGGCCTGGGAGCGGCGATGCCGGGCAGCAGCAGGGCCCTGGGACACGCAGCGAGGACCTGGATAGACCCGAGCGGGCTGCGGGCCTGGGGCAGGGTGCGCAGCGGAGGGGGACAAAGACCACCGCCCTGGGGCTTGACTCTGGCTCGGACCCTGCCTCTCCTCCCGCGTGGGCTACTTGGACTACAGTGGTTCTCGCTTGTCCGGGACGCACATTCTGCCCTGCAGCAGGCAGCGTGACTGAGGAGACCACACTGTGGCCTCACAGAGGTTTGCTTGGCAGCAGGAGTGAGCAGATCTGACTGAGAAGCGCGGAGGCCCCACTACAAAAACAGCACAGCGCACAAAGGACCGGGCACTTGAATCGTTTGACAGGACCCCCGCCCCCAAAGGTTTTATTATCCTGGTATGCAGACGGGGAGCCGGGGCTAGAAAGGGTCGGCATCTTGCCCAGGATGGTATCCAGAGTCTGTACTTTGGGCCACGCGTCTGTTCTGGCCCGTGATCCTAGGTGCTGGGCTCTCCTGCAGCCTGTGTTACGCGTTGGTAGTCTAGCATTCTCTGCAGACATCATGGTGGGTTGCAGTACAAGGTGGTGGTTACGTGTACTGCTAGTAACTGACCTGTGTCAAAGCTTAGTAGTGAACAAAATGCTTTCACAGAGACAGTGCTTAGGATTTCTTCTGCCGCTTTTTCCAAGAAACTTGAGCTGCTAACATTTTTGTAAAACTCCTAATTTCCTGTAAATTGCCTGTCCCAGGTGACTAGGGCTGAAAATGTTTTGAGACATAGTTTTTACCCTTGGGTCTGTTCACACTGCCCACCGGCCAGGTCATATCTCTTGTCAGTGGCTTTATGGGGTAATTGGCCTTTCTCTGCCAGGGTGAGAGGCTTTGATGCCCTGGAATTTTCAGGGTTGCCCGCCTTTTTGAGGGAGTAGTGGTGAGCAAGCCCGGTGCTATGGTGGAAACTGTAGCCCCCGGAGGTGACCTTGACTTTTCCTTATGGAGGAAAGGAGTGGACAAAGCCCACTGGGGAGGCAGGTGACCATCTTCCAGGGTTGTCAGCTTTGTTCCTGCATAAAGCGGTTTCTATTTTCTACTTCTTAGGCTTTAAGCTTCCTACGACACTTTTGTGACAGGTGAAACTTTTATTATTAGCTCCACCAGTGAATATTCACACTTTCCTAGAATGTGACAAGTCCATTACACCTGGGGTTGGGTCCTGAGCTCCAGTGACTACCTGGAACCAGGAAGGACTTGTTACGCTCTCCCACATTGAGTTCCTGGGGTGACTTGCCAGAATCACATGCTGACCAGCCTTGTGGATCTCGTGAGTTCTCAGGGAAGGGCGGTCTTCACTGTATGTTTTCCATCTGGTGTAATCATTGTAATCTGTTCCACCAGTGACCTGCCCCGGTGTGTGCCTTCCTGACAGTGACTGAAAACATACCTGCTCATGAGCTTAATGGAGTTTGTTCAAACCGTACTCATATGACTAACATGAGTCATATGAGTATGGTTTGGTCCAAAGGTTCTGGTCCAAAGCTGGAATGTTCTCAAGGGTCCAGAGGGTATGCACTGAGTTCCAGAGGCTCTGTATCTGCTGGGCCTCAGCAGGCATGAGCTTGCTATGAGGTACTTGCACCTTTGTCTAGAGATCAGAAAAAGGAAGGACCTGGATGAGCTCCCTGGGACCTGGGGCGTCTAGCAAGAACTCATGGTCTAGGGACTAAGCTGAGAATTCATCATTGGGAGGAATTTTGTTGGTGAACTTGGAGGCGTTGTGCTCATTGTCTTAGATAACGCCTCTGGGCCATGTGGTGCTGAGTCAGCGGGGATGGTTTGGGGTGCAAGGAACAAAACTCAAATATGCTAGTGGGCTAAGCAGCTCCCAGATCTCCCAAAGTTCCTCACAGCTCTTCTGGGGTCATTGTAAACTTTCACTGAATTCTTGCCTGGGACGAGCAACCAAGAAGACAGAGGGCCTGGAGTTCAGAATTAAGGTTTTTGTGTTCTGGACTCGGCCTTTTTAATACAGCAGTGAGAAATCCAGGACAGTTGTTCAATGTGCAAATCTGGGCATGTGATTCAAGAGAGTTTAGGGATCTCTGAAAATGAGCCTGGGATTTCAGGTTGGCCACCCCTGGTTTAGAGCGACCTCGCTTCACTGCTGTTTATTGAGGACCTGCTCAGTAGTCCTGTTGTCCTAGCCAGGCCAGTGTACCACTGCAGGGCAGCCTGAGACAGTGAGGTGGGTGTCAGGAGTGCCTAGGGTCAGCTGGTAGCCTGTTCTGTGGGGCTATGACAGAGAAGACAGTGCCGCCACCACTCGCACTTCAGATGGTTGAGCTGATGTGTTGAGGCCGAGGGCAAGGCCACACTGTGCTCCTTGACAGTTGCTGCCCTGTAACCTTGTCCCCATCTCTTGTCCAGGCAGCGTTTCTGCTGTGCGCGATGGTCTGTCCATTCTCAGAGACCCTCTCCCCCAGCCCTCCGTGGCCTGGTTCACACCTCTGTGCTTTTCTCTGGCCGCTGTGATCCATTGTCCTTTAATATTCCTGACAGCTTCAGTAGATGGTGCCTGCCGGTGGCCAGATGGCTGAATGACAGCAGGGTCATCACCAGCTGAGGAGGTGACATTCTGGGTCCCAGAAGGGCATGTTGTTTGTCTACAGAGCCTGATTTCCATAAAGGTTGTTCTGCTAGTGAGCTTGGGAGCACACCAGGAATGCAGCTGGCTGTGCAGCCTGTGGTGCTTGGGCAGAGGAGGGCAGGATGGAGTGTCGGGTGTGGAGCCTTAATCCTGGCCTCCTGTGACTATCTATAGGGTTGGGTGGGCCTGCGCTGCTTGGGCTGGGCTCCATCTGTGACTTTTCTTGTCTTCTCTCAGGGTTGTCATGGGGATTAGAGGAAATACACAGATGAAATATGCTGGGAGACCAGAAAGGACCACGAGAATGAAGAACATTATCATTACTCAAGCAACCTCAAATAACAGATCCCTCCCCGCTGCAGGGCCCCTTAAGCGAATTAAGTCTCAGTTCACATGCAGATGGCGTCTTCCATGTTAATAGTTGTGTACTTGTTTATATGTGTTAGTGAAAAAATACAGGCGTCACATCAAACCTGCTTTTTATTTTTAAAAAAATTTTTTTTCTTTTGGTTTTTTCCCAGTACCGGCAATCGAATTCACAACCTTGCGCTTGCCAAGCAGGCGCTGTGCCACTGAGCTAAATCCACAGCCCCTCAAACCTGCTTTTTAAATAGGTATTTTGCCCAGGTTAAAGCCAAAGAAAAGTTTTAAGTTGAAAGTGTACTTCTTCTTAAATATGATAACTTTAAGGTAAACATTAAACTGATAACAGTGTAGCAATAGACAAATATGGCCAGGATGGGAAAGTGACTCTGACTAAAGGCTGGGGAGCTCTTGACAGGGGAATCCCTCCTGTGACAGCCCTTAGGGGTGGCCGTGGCTTCCACTGGACCCTTCTAGAGACCCAATACTTAGTGTCCTGCGCCATTGAGCACTTTCTGGGGAATCTCATCCTTACAGAGTTCTTTTCTTTCTCATAACCCATCCCGTACCAGCCTTTGATGGTCTTACTTTTCTCCAGCTGCTCCTCAAGTGGTATCGTTTAAAGATAGCCTCTCAGTATGACCATCTTTTCATCCATCCATCCATCCATCCACCCATCTATCCACCCATCCATCCATCCACCCATCCATCCATCCATCCACATATCCATCCGTCCATCCACCCATCTTTCCATCCACCCACCCATCCATCCATCCCTCCACCCATCCATCCATCCATCCACACACCTATCTGCCCATCCATTCACCCACCCACCCACCCACCCATCCATCCGTCCATCCATTCATCCATCCAATTATCCATCCAGCCATCCATCCATCCATCCACCTTTCCATCTACCCATCTTTCCATCCACCCACCCATCCATCCACTCATCCAACCATCCACCCATACATCCATCCATCTGTCCATCCACCCATCTTTCCATCCATCCATCCACTCATACATCTTTCCTTCAACAAAGGAAA